ACATGAGCTGGGCTCTAGCTTCCTGCCTGGCCAAGGACAGTGTAGAAGAGGGGAAGAGGACCAGTCCCATTGCAAAAAGTGGGGGGGCCATGCCCCTTGGATCCCTATGCTCTGTCACCCCTGTCTTTAGCACACCACCACAAGCTTGAGTCATCTGGGTGTCTAATTGCACTGTTGATATACTCTATATGCACTACAATCCGGGGGTTCTCCATATTACGGCGAGATAACTAAAGCACATGGACCTATCATGGTATAAAATCCTAGCAGAGTACAGTCAATGCAATTCCATCACCTGGCAGGGACTTGCTGAGCCACATCCCAGTAAAAGCTACAGAGCCCTGTTTCTGCTAAGGGTTTATGCTGAGATCACTGATACACATGAATGATCTCCAGTAAACAATACAGAATCATAATAAAATAAAACCCAGACACCTTTCTTTGGCCTATGGCTTCTTGTATTGTAAAACAGATTAGGATTTATCATCTATTGTGGACTGCAGCTACAACTAAATTTTCATCACTGAGAGTGTAAGCCCAGTTAGCTAACATGGACTAGCTTAACATAGGCTAAAAAATAACTTTATTCCTACTGAAGGCAAGCACAGACACTACAGCTCCCACCAAACCTGTGGAGCTAAATTGGCTTTAGAAACTGTCCTTACTTTCAACTAGGACCTTGGCCCCAGCAACACTGAGTTGTGTCTCAGTTTCTGCTGGGATCTTGGCCATAGAAACACTGAGCCCTGAAAGAAACTGCAACCAAGAAGTTGGACAGAAGGGGGAGGGAGCTTGACAATCTGTTTCTGGTCAGGGGGCTTATGGGAATGGAATGAAGGACCAACAAGCTTTAATTGTTGAGATTACCTCCAGCAACAATTCTTCACTGCAGTTACCTCAGGGTAAATACACTTTAACAGATATCTCAGGATCTTCCCTATAGCTCAGGCCTGCTGACTACATCACCATGTCACAGAGACAGAGAATCACGTTGCATGAATGTGGCACATGTTAACTCAGGCTCAGCCATGGTTTTTCTTCTTAAGTCTAAAGTGGAGACAGCCCCTTTGTCCATGGCTTAACAGGAGGAAAAAAGTGAACAGAAACAGCAAGAAAACTAAGGGTACGTCTACACTACAACGTTAATTCGAACTAACTTAGTTCGAATTAGTTAATTCGAACTAAGCTAATTCGAACTAACGGATCCAGACTAAAAAACTAGTTCGAATTAGCGTTTTGCTAATGCGAACTAGCATGTCCACATTAAGTGGACCCGGAAGCAGTGCTGGCAGGGTATCAGAGGAGAACTTAGAGCGTGGAGATGCTGTCTCAGGCTAGCCGAGGGCTGTGCATAAAGGGTCCCGACCCCCACCCCGGACAGACAGTTCTCAGGGGTGCCCCGCTTGCAAAGCAGTCCTGGCTTGGATTG